GTGTCATTTCTTCAGTGTTGTCACATGAAAAGATATAATAAAATATTTACAAAAATGTGAGGGGTATATATATATGCACACAATAGCTAAAATCCCACAAAGAGTTCAAAGGTCACGCGTCGCAATTGACAATTGTGTGTGCAGGTATATGACAATAGACAGTTGTTGTGGTTTTTTTTATTTTATTTTTTTTTATGTACAGGTACTGTATATTATGTGCAAATTTGAGGTGTAGGCTGAGTATGAGTGTTAGATAAATAAGTGTATGAGTGAATAAATAATGTGTGTAACACTAATGAGTCACATGACACCGGGGAGAGAAAATGGCTAATTGGGCCCAATTTGGACATTTTCACTTAGGGGTGTACTCACTTTTGTGGCCAGCGGTTTAGACATTAATGGCTGTGTGTTGAGTTATTTTGAGGGGACAGCAAATTTACACTGTTATGCAAGCTGTACACTCACTACTTTACATTGTAGCAAAGTGTCATTTCTTCAGTGTTGTCACATGAAAAGATATAATAAAATATTTACAAAAATGTGAGGGGTGTATATATATATGCACACAATAGCTAAAATCCCACAAAGAGTTCAAAGGTCACGCGTCGTCGTGTCGTGACGTCACGCTGCGCTGCGCTGGAGCGCTGTGATGTAGTTCAGAGGTGGCAGCTGGTTGTTGATATCGGTGTTAGCCCAATAAAACTATATAAAAGTAAAGAGCAAGGTCCCAGTCCTTTCTAAACAAGGTGATTTTGCATTACAGACGCAGTATACGCTTTAAGTGTAACTGCCTTGTTTGAGGAAAGGTAAGTCCTGACAGAAAAAGTGAACTTTGATCATAATAACAGGACAAACTTTTGTGGCTAGGCTACTAGCTAACACGCTAGCCACATACATAAATAAACATTCACCCCGACACCAAACAGCATCATTCACCTCTTACAAGAGGGGTTATTTACACACACAAAAAAGAAAACTACAAAAGCTGACTGTAGACATGATTTCAGGACGTTTGCGGATTTTGTTTTAGTTGTTTAGCAGATGTTGTGCTAGCTAGTGCTGATAACCTGTCAACTTACAATAAATGATTTGCACGTTTATTAGCTTAATGACATAAAACGACATATAATAGGTTAGAAAGGCACTTTAATAGGCATGTATGTTTAAAAGCATTTTTTTGGCACACGACCAATCTTCTTGTTTTGCTGGCATATTGAAGTTAGCCCAATAAAACTATATAAAAGTAAAGAGCAAGGTCCCAGTCCTTTCTAAACAAGGTGATTTTGCATTACAGACGCAGTATACGCTTTAAGTGTAACTGCCTTGTTTGAGGAAAGGTAAGTCCTGACAGAAAAAGTGAACTTTGATCATAATAACAGGACAAACTTTTGTGGCTAGGCTACTAGCTAACACGCTAGCCACATACATAAATAAACATTCACCCCGACACCAAACAGCATCATTCACCTCTTACAAGAGGGGTTATTTACACACAAAAAAAGAAAACTACAAAAGCTGACTGTAGACATGATTTCAGGACGTTTGCGGATTTTGTTTTAGTTGTTTAGCAGATGTTGTGCTAGCTAGTGCTGATAACCTGTCAACTTACAATAAATGATTTGTACGTTTATTAGCTTAATGACATAAAACGACATATAATAGGTTAGAAAGGCACTTTAATAGGCATGTATGTTTAAAAGCATTTTTTTGGCACACGACCAATCTTCTTGTTTTGCTGGCATATTGAAGAGATTGCTGCTCCTGTTAGCCTGCGACCATTTAGTCTCATCTAGCACTTACAATGTTTAGTCACAGTTTTACAGTTGTTGTTTGAGTGTGTGTGTGTCTGAATGATTGTCCTTTCAATGCTTTCATGAAGCAAGAATAGTAGATGAGTAGTCATGTTTACTAAGGCTGAAGCATATAAAAATCTCCCTGTGATTATAGTCCTCATGATGCTGTCTGGAATGATAAGGATGAGCTAATCTAATATCTAGTTTGAAGTCAGTAAAGACACGACTAATGATTTACCAAAGTCAGTCAGCCAGGCCATGACAGAAGAATTATCCACAAACCATAGATACATGTAGTGTTTTTGTAGGGTGACCATACGTGCCATTTTCCCAGGACGTGTCCTGGCCAGGATTTCTATATTGCCTAAAATATCTAGGTTTTGGCTTTGTTTGCGTGTGCAGACCGATCGGTGTATGACATCAAAATCCCTCGAGAGCATTTTGAAAGCTTAAGGAACCGTCTGTATGGTATTTTGGTGTCATACACTGATCGGTCTGCACACGCAAACAAAGCCAAAATCTAGATATTTTAGGCAATATAGAAATCCTGGCCAGGGCGCGTCCTGGGAAAATGGCACGTATGGTCACCCTAGTTTTTGTGTGTGTGTGGATCTGAAGCTGCTGTAGTAAGGGAATTTCCCCGGTGTGGGATTTATAAAGTCCATCAAATCAAATCTAATCAAAATATATTTGAAAATATATTCAGACCTGTTATTGACCATTGCAGAAAATACAATTTTGTTCAAAAAGAAACAATTTGGTCATACTTTTAACAGGACAGCTTCTTATGTTGATGTTATATATATATAGACATTTAATATATTTTCTTCCATTTACTCTGCAATTTAAAGTTGTTGTTTCTTTTTGCGCATTTGTAAATGGTCTTTTGTATTTTGTTACCTTTTTGTTTGTGGTTTAATGACAATAAAGTGATTTGATTTAAATCAGCACCTTCCTGATTGTGATGGTTTTTTTTCAGGTAAAAAGAGGGAACAAGCAACTATTATTTCATGAAAATATTCCCTGGGGAGTGTTTTTTTGGTTTTGATGCCGTGAACCTGGAAAAATGCCCGCAGCCACTGTGGATCATAGTCAAAGAATATGTGAGGTTTGGGCCAGCAACCTGGATGAGGAGATGAAGAGGATCCGACAGGTGACCCGAAAATTCAGCTACATTGCAATGGTGAGTTTGAACTCTTAATGCTTTATTCAAATCAATCCAGTTTCATTTTTCAAATGTGATCTAGAACTGACTATCATTTTGTAATTTGTAATCAAGTTGTAATCCATATGTTCAGACAGTGCAGTTAATATCCGGTAGGTCTATGTCACTTGCCATAGTAATGATTTAAGTGTCAACCTGTTGGCAAGAGACATAAAAGAACAGCTGTCATTGTGGAAAGAGAGGACAGGAAAAACGGGAGAATTTCAATCATGAGACACATCAGACAACAACAAAAAAGTCAGTCAAAGGCATTACAGCAAATCATATTGAGTCAAAAATTGCTTGTTCGTTGTGTAGCTTTAATACACAATAACGTGAGCAAAATGAGTGAATTTTGACAGCTGTAGACGCTACTACTCTTTGTGAATGACATTAGTCACATTGCATCCTGAATGAAAAAAAAATAAACCAATTTGAAATCCAGTCTGACTGTTCCAGATTTGTTACTGTAAAAAAAATTCAATCTACATTTTTGATAATTGAAATAAAATATAGATAGATGTAAAAAAGTCTCTGGCAGCGAACTAGTAGTGCTGTCAAAATTAGCGCGTTAACGCAGGCGATTTAATTTTTTTTCAGTTTAACGCGTTAAAAAGATTTAATGCAATTAACACAGGGGCGGAGCTAGGTTTGGCCACCCCACTCACAACTGCTATTTCTGTTTCTTTTTTCTTTACAAGAATTGCGTTTATTTAGATGCAGAGACTACCACATCAAATGGGAGACTTTTCAGAAGCGCTCTACAGCTTCACCTCAGCGCCAGGCGCTAGTCAAACAAACACAAAATAAAAGGCACAGGTGACGAGAGAGCTTCAGTAGAACAACAGTGAACCATGGTCAGACGAGATGCTGTCAGGCCATGTGTAAATAAAAACAAATTTTCCTGTCCTATCCGCCGTTATACTGTCATGAAGTTATCAAAAAGGCGATTAAAGCTGCCTTAAAACTGTGCTTGCATGTAAGTATTTGTAATATATGAATCACATTTAATAACATGTCTCTGAAATGCAGTGGTTTTCAAAACTGTCCTGGGGCAGCCCTCATCTAACACACCCGATTCAACTCGTCAGCTCATTTGTAGAGACTTTAAGACCTGAAGTGGGTCAGAAAAGGTAAAGAGTTGTGAGAAAATATGATGTGTGTCAGAGCCGCATCATGTTCAGCAGCAACAGCTCTTAAAGTAAAAGCAGCCAAAAAAAAAACAAATAACCAAGCTGCTGTGATGTCTTGTAATCAAAGACAAAAGAGGAAATCAATAACTTTTGTAGTTTTAACTGATTCATCTATATTTAATTTAGAATTTAGTGTTTGATAACTTTATCAATTTCTGTATATTTAATTTTCTACTTGAAGGGTACAGGTAGCTAAATATGACATTTATTATAATGGGTTTATGTGAAAAGTGTTTTAAGTTCACTTAAATTAGAAGTCTAATAAATGTTAAAATTGATAGGTCTCAATTATATTGTAATGTTGAATGGCAAAAGTCAATAGTTAAATATTAGGGGAAAAAACGAATTCCTAGAGACATCAGTAGTACTGGTATCAGTGATACTCGCCTTCAGTAAAGATAAAAAAGATGTCATTAAACAAATATTAAAAATATAGTGTCTTTGTTTCTATGCTCATTTGAAGATTGAATGTGAAATTATTGCAATATAAAAGTATATTTAAAAACTTGAATGTTAGGTGGGATTCATCAGGATTAATTTCAGAAAAATATTAAATAATTTTTTTTTAATTGATTGACAGCACTAATTTTAAACTAATAAAAAGGGCAGAAGCACATAACAAAATTGCTCTTTATTTAAAGAGATTTTTAGTCTGATAGGCCAAAAATCAGATATTTTCTGCCTGTCTAAACAAATCCCTTTTTTTGATACTGTGCTATAAATATACAAATAACCATAACAACCATAATGCATTTCGCTGAATTTGTAGGACACAGAGTTTCCAGGTGTAGTTGCAAGACCAATCGGTGAATTTAGAAGCAATGCTGATTACCAGTACCAGCTGCTGCGGTGTAATGTTGACTTGTTAAAGATCATCCAGCTTGGCCTTACATTTATGAACGAACAGGGTGAATACCCTCCAGGGACGTCAACATGGCAGTTCAACTTCAAATTTAACCTCACGTAAGCATTGCACTTTGTAATTTAAGAGGTATGACGCATATTTGAAACAACAACGCATCAATCCATGATCACACTTTTATGTACATAAGTCCATGTTGAAGATGACTTTTCTTGTCTTCAGGTGTATCCATAGCCATCATGTGATTCTTAATGAAAGCTGGACATTACACCAGCGGTACTGTCTTTTGCAGGGAAGACATGTATGCACAGGATTCCATTGAGTTGCTCACTTCGTCAGGTATCCAGTTTAAGAAGCATGAGGAGGAGGGGATTGAGACTCTGTACTTTGCTGAGCTGCTTATGACCTCAGGTGTGGTGCTTTGTGAGGGGGTCAAGTGGCTCTCATTCCATAGGTAATCTCGCAGTAATATTCACATAGTGAAATGAATACAGTGTTTCAGTGGTTTCCACAACTCCATTAAAAATGGAAGATTCTTCACAGCTTGAGAAAATGTACAGTACTGTTTAAAAATGTGTTTCTCTTTTGTGGTTTATTATAGTACATGTCTAAAACTGTTGTTCAATGAATTATACTATTTTCAAGCTAATTTTTGTCTCTCTTTTTTTCCCCCCCAAACAGTGGCTATGACTTTGGATACTTGATAAAAAATTTGTCGAACTCGAAATTGCCAGAGGAAGAGGTTGACTTCTTCGAGATTCTTCGTTTATTTTTTCCCATCATTTATGATGTGAAATACCTCATGAAGAGCTGTAAGAACTTGAAGGTATTTTAGCATTTGGAAATGTGCATGAAGATATTGTCATTAGAAATACAGACTTTACAAAGTGAGTCCATTGAACAACAGAAAAAAACTCAAAAAATATTCAGAATTGATCAGTGTGATTTTAGTATTATATATGGTTTTACACTATAAATATTTTTGTATTTTTAGTTTGTAATTTTATTAATTTTTATATTTCGATTTAGCTTTAGTTTAAATAGACTAGTCTGAGGAACAAAAAACAAACAATGAATCACATGAAAAATTATTATTTTGAATTAGCTGTTATTTTTTATTTTCATTTTATTTTAATAAATTATTCGCTTTTGTAGTTTTCATTAGTTTAAAATATTTATATTTAGCTTTATTTTGACCTCCGTTCTAGTTTAAGTAGTACTTCAACAAACTTATTTCATTTCATCGCCAAGGCAACATTTGTTGTTTTCATGTTTTTTGGGGGGGTTTTTTTCTTTTTCAAATTTTATTTGATTTCAGCTTTATGTCGGCTACTGAAAACTATTTTAATAGTTTTAGTTAAAAGATAACAACACTTGCTGATACGTATCCTTACAAACCCACGTATTTGAATTATATCAGGGGTCACTTTAATTTGTAGCAGTCTGTGTGAATAGAAGGAAGCTGTGCCTGATTTCTGTCATGTGATGTGCAGGGTGGTCTGCAGGAGGTGGCAGAGCAGCTTGAGCTGGAGAGAATTGGACCTCAGCATCAGGCAGGCTCTGACTCACTCCTCACAGGAATGGCTTTTTTCAAGATGAGAGAGGTGTGCCTTCAGCTGGAAAAAAACATCAAAGTGCTATGCATATTAAAAATCACAAAAAATCTTTTAAAGTTGCAACATTGGTACTGACTGTAACATCGTTGTCATTGCAGATGTTTTTTGAGGATCACATTGATGATGCGAAGTATTGTGGTCACTTGTATGGACTGGGTTCAGGCTCATCCTATGTCCAGAACGGCACCGGAAACGCTTACGAGGAGGAGGCAAACAAGCAGCAGTCATGACACAACAAGAATCCCTCACCATAAACAACCTCATATACAGGGCTCAAAACATGGGTTTTTAGTTGTTTTGTTTTTCATGAAGGATTTGATAAGATTTTGCACTTTAAAGCTCTCATCCGACAGAACTTCTTCCCTTTGTTGCCTTCTCTGGGTTAAATCTTTTCACACAATGTTCATCTTTTATGGTTAAAGAAGGGAAACCATTTGGTGTTTTAGTTTACCCCCCACAGCTCAGCCTTAATATTAAGCTACTTTTTATGTTCTTTTTTTATCGTTAATTTATTGCATTCATTTCTTCTCGTGTACGGTTGCATAGTTCGACTAATTTGGAGAAACCGAGTGCACCAGTCACCTATGTGAACTGTCATTCCCTGATCACAGTACTGATTTCTCACACTTTGCAATAGCTGTAGACAGATGGAGGATCTCACAGACACACAGGTCAATACAGGCACTTAATTGTAAAGCAAAGCCTCGCACTGATTTTACCCTTTTATGTTGGGTTAGCACAGATTTTACCACACAAGTAAATTAAGAGTGATGATGTAACTGCCACTATTTAAGTGAACTGAGGTCACCTCGTACTTCTGGATCAAGATTGTCTTTCCATTTTCATTTTTAAAAGAGATTTAAAGGTTTTGTAGTATTTTAGTATCAAAGACGATCAAAGCCTTTTATTCATTTAAGAAATAATGCCTCTTAAAAGAAATCTTAGCCAACTCAAGTGCTCAGTATCAGTGGAATTAGTTTTACTTGTAGTGTGCTGGTTTTTGAATGGTGCACAATTTGTGCTGTTTGGGATTTTCCTTTTTTTTGTATTGTATTGCTTTACAATTCTGTGTCGCCTAGATCTGCTGCATGTACTGAAACATTTTTGAATAAATGCTGTTAACTATGAGCTTTTATAGATATGTGAATTGCATGAATGCAGCTTGTCCTTTTTTTTTCTTCTTTATTTATTTTTTGAATGTCTGATTTGGTGAATGATTTTGGTAGCTCTTAACCTCCCTCCTGTTTGTCCATCATCTTGATGTGTACAGTATCCACACTGGTATTATGCAATATAAAGAGACTGTTTTTAGAGCATTTGGAAATAAAAGCCTGATTTTTCTAACATATCCAAAATCTGTTCAGATTTATGCTGTTAAAGTTTTATTGCACTTTTCTTAAAGAAATAGTTCACCCCAAAAAACTAAACTTACAAATGGACCCTCAGGCCATCCAAGCTGTAGATGTGTTTGTTTCTTCATCGTAACAGGTTTGAAGAAATTTAGCGTCACCAATAGATAATCTGCAGTGAATGGGTGTCGTCAAAGTCCAAAAACCACTATAAACCACAAGTAATTAATATAACTCCAGTCCATCAATTAAGGTCTCAGCTGTGTGCTTGCAATAAATCCGTCCTTAAGACATTTTTACCATCTGAACTGGCTAAAATACATGTTACGCCAAATCAGTTCCAATGAAGAAACAAACTCATCCTACATCTTGGATGGCCTGAGGATGAATACATTTTCAGCAAATTTTCATTTTTAGGTGAAATATTCCTTTAATGGACAGATGCTATAGCTGTAACAGTGTTAGACAAACAATACCAGAACAACACTGTAGAACTTAATAAAATATCACTATTTCTCTTACAGTAACACTCATCAAGGCATCTCATTCAATGGTGCTGTCATACAGAGTCTGAATTTATATGAAAACACATCAAGCTACCAACGCAGACAGCCAGCAGAATTTCACATACTCTCAAAGAGAACAAAAGCTGCAACAACAATCTACATACACAAAAGCAAGAACCGGTAGAAAACGTGTATCACAGTTTATTTTTGAATGTGGTGTGTGTGAACCTAATCACAAAATAAACAACAGACAGTTCCATAAAAACTACAAAACGGACAACACACCACAAGTCTTGGCATTTCTGAGGTTTTGTTCCCACAGTCAAAATCCTGTACAAGTACAAGTTACATGCAATAACTGTTGAATCAAACTGAGATAAGAAATATGGTAGTAATTACATTATTAGAGCCCTTAGATAAATCAGATGTGTTTAGTGATACTAAACCACATCTTTCGTGAGTTTTGCATTAATTGTGCAAACGGTTATGAAACGTATGCTTAAAATAATCTAATATACTGACATTTAATAGTGAAATATTCTCTGCAGCTGTAGTATAACAATGTATATGGAGTTAACAATACATTATCCTTGCATACTTGATTCGACAGAACCATCAAGAAAACAAGGACTAAGACGATTTAAAAACTGAAATAATGTGCAGCTTTAAGCACTTTTCTAAGTGCATATATAGTATTTTTGTCTTCCCTGTGCTTGTCAGGTTAAACAGTGTTTTTGTCTGAATATCCAGCCCTAAAAATGGCCTAAAATATTTGCTACATCGGTCATTTTGCTTGTGTAAGACCTTTGCATAATTCATGACAGCTGGAATCCAGACTTAAGAGTGATGGACAAGATCCTCATTGACACTCTGTCAAATAAAACAGATTATAGTCATGATGTGCAAATGCATCTGTATAGTAATGAATAAAATAAGGGATGCTGCTGCATTTCAACAATGCAGGATCAAAAAACAGGTAAAATGTGTTCTAGTGTAGTGCAAAAGCACTTGGGCTTTTCAGTGTTCACATTTCAAACATGAAACACGACTACGTAACACCATCACACAGCATGCATAAATACTTCACGTTTCGCAGACTAACAAAAACGCCACCTTCTTCAGCACTGCCTACACCACGCAAGCTATATTCAAGGCATTTACCTTACAAACTTCTACATTTTTAAAAATGCAGGTCTTGCAGGAATGTTTTCAAATGTTCAGCCACAATTGTGGGCTTTTTTAGGCACATTAAGATAGCTATACAGTTTGCAAGGAACGACAAGAGACTCAGTGGCCCCTCACGTATGTACAGTACACACCATAATCCTGCACTGTCAGCTCTTGTGAAGAATCACAGGTAGAGAGTAGATGGGCGATGCAAGTCTGTGCAAGAGCAGCGGAGACATCCTTTCTGTTCCACTGACAACAGACATCACTAGCACAAAACTCCTAGAGAAAGAAAGTCGGCTCATTTAGAATAAGCCATTAAAACATTCAGGGATTCCAAGATAAGAATTTGGGTGAGATTATATTATTATATTATATTGTATTATTAAATGACAGTATATGTGGTAGGTACACTACCATTCAAAAGGATCAGTTACATAAAAAAAATAATAATAATTAATGCTTCTATTCAGCAGGGATGCATACAATTATTTAAAAGTGATGAAGACATTTTTAAATGTTACAAAAATATTCCTATTTCTGATAAATGCTGATCTTTTGAACATTCTATTCTTCAAAGAATCCAGTAAAAAAAAAAGTATCACCGTTTCACCGTTTCCACACAAAAAATATTAAGCAACATTTATAATAAAAAATGTTTCTAGAGCACAAACTCAGCATATTAGAATGATTTCTGAAGGTTCATGTGACACTGAAGACTGAAGTAATGATGCTGAAAATTCAGCTTTGCATCACTAAAATAAATTACATTTTAAAATATATTAAAACAGAATACAGCTATTCTAAATTGTAATATTATTTCACAATATTACTGTTTTTTCTGTATTTTTTATCAAATCAATGAAGCCTTGGAGAGCTTTAGATACTTTTTTCAAAAACATTAAAACATCTTACTGACCCCCCAATGGTAGTGTACGTTACAATACTGTAATTTTAAAACACTTCAAAGTTTTATTATCTGAAAATAAGTGGTATGTTATAGCAATGTATACACACAAAAGTAACAAACCAGTTTCATTAGCACGCTCCTAAGTTTCCTTCTCAATAGTCAAGGCTGGGTTGCTTGTACCTGTTAGAAAAATACAGATTGAGCACCATGTTGTTTGACCACATTGTAATATTACCTCACACATTCATAGCTGCACATTTACCTCATATCTACAAGTCACATCTTTGGTCAAGGCACACAAAACACTCAAATTAGCAGTGTTTTGTAATGATCTCAGATGTGGCGTAACTGTGGTCTCACCTCGCGTGTCTCTGTCTTCACTTCCCTCTGACTGTCCGTTGCTCAGCAGTCGGCTCTGAGACTCTCTCAGAGGTTTAGGTGGAAACTGATGGGATTCTCCAGCACTAGGAAAAAAAAGGAAAGGGCATGAATGAAAGGCTCTGCATATCATCAATACAGTATCCCACAATGTGATGTGCATTTCTAGTGTAACAGTGGAACCAGAAGTAATATCTCTTGCACATTTCTTTCTTGACTCATTAATTGGACAGTAAAATGCTAGGATATTTTCATGATTATATTTTTGTATATTTTCATATCGTTATACGATATTTGTAATGTTTTTGTGATACAACTCCGTTTCCTAAACGAATCATTCATTCTGAGCCATGAACCTTTTGATTGAAGGGTTGTGTCCAGAAGGTGAGGAGGGTTGTTCAGGGTCTGCGTTCACTAGACATGTGGGGAATAAACAGCCGTCGCCCAGACTGCAGAAACACAATATGATACAATGTGAGGGAATGAGATCACCGAACACTCACACTGACTTTTTTTAATGCTACTGAACAATAACTGATACCTTGAAAAAATCGGCAGCAGCCAGTATTTCTTTTCATCTCCAAACACTTGCCGAAAGTTCTTGCTTGTTCCTAAACTGAAGGCATTCTTGTCTGGTCCGTGCTGGAATGCAGGAGCTCTGAAAGCCTCTAACAAGAGAAACATTTAAACCACATAAATACATAAAAATGTTTCATATATAATCCTACTAACATGATTTCAGATTTTCTCTTAACTTTTAAACCTTGTAATACAATGCAATTCAATGCAATACATTGATGATTGAGAGATGTACAAATAAATGTTCCTCAAAAACCTAAAGTATCATATGTGATACTCACAGTTTAGCATCATTTTTCAAAAAATTACACTAAAAGCCCTTTTACTTGCTAAAAGAGTATAAACTATTAATTAGGCGACATGATAGATTGTGTACAACAGGTTGTTCAGCAAAGCTTTGATCATGTTAATCATTTAGAAGCCTTAGAAATTCACATATCAAATATGATACAGTAGGCTTTACAGG